GAGAGAGAGAGAGAGAGAGAGAGAGAGAGAGAGAGAGAGAGAGAGAGAGAGAACCGGGGGCGCGGGGGGGAGGAGGTACGGTGAGCGGTGATGGTGGTGCATCGTGGGTGAATACGCGTGTCTGTCTGTTTGGTGTGTGTCGGGCGAGGCCGTGAAACGCGACCGGCAGAGGGCCACGCTGTGGTTTTGAGAAAATGCTACAGTAGGTATTAGGCTCTGAACACACTCACGACCTTCAGTAAAAAAAGCGCTCAAGGCCAGTAGGTTGGGGCTACCAGTACCCGCGCGGGACTCTGAAGCAGTGAAAGCCAGGTCATCGGTGGGACCAGAAAAATACACATGTGCTGCGTCCGTGGCGTGCTTGCGACACGTACAACTTCACCCACAGAACGTCTTGCGCCAAGCACCAATACGGCCCGTCGTCTATGTTGTGCTGGCCACCGGCAAGTAGACACCCACACACATGCGCAAACGCACTAAAAGAGGACGAACCTGGTCGCTGGCGTAAAGGGTCATCTTCGCCAGCAGCTCGCTATCGCTTACTCCGGCAGGGCTCCGCCTCCGCATGTGCTTGAGAGCCCTCGTCCTCGCCGCCACCACGGCCACTAAGGTCCCTTCGCTCGCAGACCCCTGGATGACCCCGCCCCCCCCGCCCCCGCTCGACAAGAAAGCCTCGGGGAGATCCACCGCCCTCCCGAGCTGATCTACCGGCACAAGAGACGGGGCACCAACCACGGGTACACGAAAGGGGGATGGTATCCATCCGCACAAGCGTATCGTCGAGGGAACCGACACCGTCACTTGACGTTCCCAATGAAGCACTTGTACCACGTGCGATGGCCGGGAACCAATGCAATGTTCTAACCTACTTCGTATGTCTGAATAAGGGGGCTCCGCCACCATGAACTAACTCACCGAGGACCACGGTCTCCAACTCTGTCGACGCGGGGCTGGCCTCCCAGCTGAAGCCTATCACGTTGAACATCGAAGCCAGCATGTCGCCCAAGATGGCGGGAGGGGAAGAAGCGGCCGGATACCACGCGAAGAACCTGTCAAGAGAGTCGGCCGGTGGGATTGTGCGAGGAGTCAGAAGCACGACGGGCGTCTACACGCATATGAACGACAACGAGAACCTGTCTACCTAGAGAAGCGTGCAGGGGCTCCGCAGAATGCCACCGAGACACGTCTGCACGGGGGAACTTCTTCGTAGGGTCAGCCGTACAAGTATACCTTTTCGCGGCCAAGGGCAATGGAGATTTTCTTACGGCCCCACGGACAAAGAGACGGCTCGGCTAAAAATCGTTTCAAGACCGTGCCACTGGGTTGAACAAGGAGCACCGGGACAGCACATCGTTGAGGATGTACACACCTGCCGATTGTGTTAATCGAGTCTTCACTCGGCATCGGATTTACGAGATTTCGTGGACTGCAGAAAAGTGACTGAAGAAGCGCGACCGCTTCCGCCGTTCGCGATAGATCCATAAGAGGTCGGACTCGAATACATAGCGTTCTCTCTGGCACTCCAAGTGTGACCGCGTGCAGAATTGTCGGGCCGCCAGCACGTGTTCTAGGTTCAGCATGGTTATTGTGTAGCGGTACTTCAAGTGTCACAGCACCAGCAACGTAGCGACCGCTGGGCACACACCTTGGGTGTTGCCAGTGGGTAATCCCGGGCATGATGTGGGACTCCACGTCCGCCATGATGTCGCTCCAAACCTCACCTTTCGTCGGAAACTCTCGCTGTGTCACCCGTTTCTGGTTGAGGCGGCGGCGGCGGCGGGGTGTGGCAGTGCAAATGAGATAGGATTCCTCTCAAGCATTGAAAGAAAGCTTGAACGGAGTTGACAATGGGTCTGATTTTACGTGTCAAGAACTGCTTTCGAAGACGTGCGCCCGCGCGGCGTTGTGGATCGCACGCTCTCGGTCGTTAAACCAGCTTTGGGGTACATGCTTGCCCAGGAGAACCATCAACGACGGGAGAGAATACACCGCGTAGTAGGCCACGGGCACCGAAAGTAGTCGCCGTGCAAGTGCCGATTTTCCATGCTTCTCCAAGTTTTCGTCCATACTATTGTTCTGGTTCGGGTCACTCCGCGGATGTGCACGAGAGTTGACGTCGTCCACTACGTGATCCTTTGGCTATGCACGCCCCGCCTGGGCCACACCCACACGAGCAAACCGAACGGTTTCCACCCCTGCAGAGAGAGCACACCTTTAGATACCCAGGTTCCACGATCGCCCGGACGGGGAGGGACTCGACCCCTTGGTAGTAGTCGGCGATGTAGTCAACCATCGACCGCCCCAGCAGTCGAAACGGCTCCCAGTCGGAAACGTCGGCCTCGCCCTCCCAGCCCTCCGCTTCGAACAAGGGCCGCCGCGGTTCATCTGAACCTGCTGGCCGCAGCCCTGGGACCCTCTGCCACAGCACGTTCAACCCGAAGCGGCAAGGATGGAACGGGTACAGTAGACTACTGTGTTTTTTGCTGTAGATGTATTCGTACACTGAAAATGTGCGGCAAGCAAAGTCCTGTAGTCGACGAGGTTTAGCACTGTAATCTAAGATGTCTATTTAGTAAGGGCAGTGCCGCTTGGGGTATTTTACGATATGCAGAGGTCGAGTCAACTATAATAATAGTTTGCATGTAAAACCTGGCGACCACGAGATGAAAGGTTTAGACACTGCTGTGGCTATTATTCACAACAAGGCAAATCAAGCTCCGGACCAAGTTGTCTAGACTACGCAGACAACGGCAGGAAGGGCCGTGCTGGATCTCTAGTCTGCTACTCTACAAACTCTACAAAACGCTGCAACCGTTGAAGCGATGGCACTGCAGGCTTTTTAGACAATGCATGCAGGCACAAGGGTGCAGGGATATATGGTCGCCGGTACACTATGCGAACCGCTGGTGCTTACTATGCAACTTCCGCGTGCAGGAACACATCACACCTGAGAGAACCGGCCAGCCACCGCTCCAACCACTAACCCGGCCAAAGCCTGGACTACGCCCTTCGCTGATGCGTCAACCGCGCACCACCCCAGCAGCAGCGCAAGCAACGTTGTTCTTCGTCTCGTCATGATCGTGCCCGTACTCCTCCGTACCTGCGTACGACGCGGTGCCAAAACCTGCGCAACTAAGGGGAAGGAACAGCAACACTGAGAGAGAGAGAGAAACACTCAACAATGCAACATGTCCTCTGTCGAGTGTCTGCGGTATGCTGGGTGTTACGTCGTTAACCTCGGCGGCCGCAAAACGAAAAAAGTCCCGCCGCTGGACCTGTAGTCACTGCTGCTGCTGTGATGGATATTCGATGCTGCTATGACTCGCACCTGCCACCCTAGTCTTGCCCTCTATCCTCTCTCTCTTGGTATGCCTTAGGCAAGAGAACGTGCATAGACGCACACGAACCTCTGTCTCTGTCTGTCGTCCGTCATTCGCTCTTGCGCCTTGCGCCGCCCAACGCCGCCCAACGCCGCCGACCACCAGGGTGGAAATTCAAATCTTCCCCGTAGTATGTACGCCTCCATTAACGCCCCGCCAACAATCTACCTGCGAAAGAGCTTGTAGATATTTAAGCGATATTCATTGCCTGTCGCTCGCTGTCCTCTTCCCACGCACACCCCACCGGCTCACGGATCCTACGCTGCAACAGCACCTGGTTCCAGTACCGTCTACGTTCTGTTCCACGAGGATCGACTTGCGTGTTTGATTGAAGAGCACTCCCCAAACTCCCCCCCCGGTTTGCGCTGGATTAATTTGCTCTGCTCGACGCACGCGTACGCAGCCAGCATGTTGCCTATCCTTCGACGAAAGATGGCTACGGCCGTTGCAGCCGCGCCTCTCCGGCGTGGAATCACAAGCGAGACGAGATCGGTGAGAGCCGGAAGCTGGTAAACAGATGTTGGCGTGCCGTGCACCTTCTCAGTCTTGCTTTGGTTTGACTTGACGTGTCCAGGATATCATGCTGCTCCCTGTGCCTTCTGGGACCAGCAGCCACGATTGAAGTCAGCACCCCTAGTTGTTTGTCCCGTCTGCTGCTGTTTTCCAGTGGGCGCTGGCCATGAATAAGCCGCTGGAGGAAACGGACCCGGATCTGTTCGACATCATGGAGCACGAGAAGGTGTGACTCGCACAGCGGCATTAACACTCGTTCGACAACTCTGGGTAGGCAACACTGCGTAGCATGCTCAGTCAGTGTCGTGTGTTTCCGCCGCATCTCTGAGGTGGCTCCCGATTGCGGTACATGTAAATTCCTGCACCAGCAATAGTTGGATGCCCTCCCCGAGCCATGAGAGACTCGGCGTGACCACCCTGATTACGCAGGCGGGTGCCTGTGGCACGCTCGAGACGCGTGGCGTAGGAGACCAAGCTCTGTGTCGCTGCCTCTTGGAGAGGTTACGCAACGCACATGCGGCAAGATTTTCACGGGCTGCATGCATGTGCTTACTAGCCAGCAGCCGGCAGCACCCTGCTTGGTGTGTTCGTCGGTACAAGACTGTTGAAACAAATGTGCCCTCACTTCCATGTTCGCCGCTCGGCTGAGCTGCAGACACGACTCGCTGCGGTTTATACACTAGAGTACGGTCCACGTGTATTCGTTTCTCTGCGGGGCTCTTCGTGTCGAAACAAGAGGCGTCGAGAGAAACAGACACCCGAGAATGTGACGACCAACACTCACACGCGCTTTCTTTCTCTTATACAACGTACTTCCTCACGCCGGTGGCAAAACTGCCCGCCCCTGTACTTAGTACACCACAGCAGTGCAATTTAGGCGTCTCCAAGGGAGGACACAGGTTTCTTGAACGCCCGCGGCCAGCATAAGGAGCTCTCCCAGACACGCAAGTCCAACATTTACATTGGAGCGTTTGTAGAAGCCTTCGTACTACAGTCTATCCTGCTGTGAAGTGTATGATGTGTACATACCGATATTAATTTGCACACGAGACTTTCACTCTTCTGTACCAATCTCACTGCGGACGGGGTGAGGACAGAAGCCTAACATAAATCTGACTTATTTTGAAAATGACGCACAAGCATGCGCACACGATGGATCATTCGCAAGAAAAACTTTGCTTGTCGCACAGAACCAGCGGCTGCGTGTTGCCTCCACCAGCGTATGATGATGTGTAGTCGCCTCACACATTCTCTACGAAGAACTAGACATTTTCACATTTTCCGCAACTCGACATTTCAGGTGAAACAGGCGACACAGCGGGGACTCAAACAGTTCATTGCAAGAGACCTCACATTAGATGCTCTATCCTCAGTCGAGGACGTGTGACATGGAGCAGCGACACGGGTGTTGACACGCTCACATCGTTACTGTTCATGTGCCGGGGCCGTTCTGGCGAAGGTTGCAGCTACGAACCAAATAGCCCGCAAACCCGTGGGTCCAAATCGTCCATCTTCCATTGTTGTCCTCGCCGTCACAGACCCAATCACGTTCACTGCGGGTGTATAGCAGGGCTAGTAGCTTTAGCTCCCATGGAAGGGATCGGAGGTGATGTCGGCGAGTACAGCAGTGACCAACACTTGCTTCGGATCCAAAATCGCGGGGGGGGTATAGCCCGGCTTAGCGTTCTACAGCACGGGCTCAGCAATGAATCTGAGGGCGCCAACCCTGAAGTATAGTGTTCACACCTTGGAAATGCATATGGCGAAGCGGAAGTTTTAGGTTCGGATTCAGCTGACTGTTTGTTTCTATCCAACCATCCCCGGCAACGACGGCCTCTTGATCGCGATCACTAAGGTTGACTATAAATAGCTTGTCTTTACCAGCAACTCCTGTTGGTCACGATACGCTGGTCTAAGGCTCAACTCGCTTGTCCCTACGAGCACCTTCTCTCGATCGCGACTCCCTCTCTTAAGGCTGAACTAGCTTGGTCTAGTTTGCGCTTCCATTCTCTCCATCCCTACCACACTGCTGTAGGGTGCGGCGAATCGGGTAGGCTCGAGACACCGGGTTCAATCCCGACGCCGCCGCCGTCCCTTAGCTTGTTGCGTGAAACCGTTCACTAATAAGTGTCCCGTCTCGTTTTTTAACGCTCTTGTTGCGCCGCATCCCGACGACTTGAAACTTCGTTGCAGGTGCGTCAGAGGGACAGCCTGGTCCTGATCGCCTCGGAGAACTTCACGTCCAAGTCGGTCTACGACGCGCTCGGCTCCATAATGTCCAATAAGTACAGCGAGGGGTACCCGGGGGCACGGTACTACGGCGGCAACGAGCAGATCGACAAGGTGATGGGAATTTAAAGCCGTCGTGACCGTATCCTATATACCTTTGGTACAGAGCGGATCGATCCGAGACAAGTCCTTATGTCTTTACGCCGCCGTTGGGTTGGGGTACACCCTTTATTTGGGCGGACCGACAGCGTGGTGCCTGCACTGGATGTGTGTACCCTGTCTTGCCAAGAGCAGGCCAATAAGGCCCTAATGGCGCGCAGCAATGCTCTTCTTATAAGTGAGCAGACCGGAAAAGACGTTGGAGTTGTCTTGATCCATAACAGTGAGCTCCTCGACGAGAGGTAAATGCCTGCTGTTTCTGAAAACCTTCGCAGTCCGGGGTGGCACTCGAGCAGCCCCGAGGCACGAGCACGCGCTCTCCGAAGCGACCAATACCCTTTTTCGATGTTGTTCACAAGTTTCGACGCTGACACGCACTCACGTACTCGCACGAGATATGCAAGTGTAGATCGAAATACTACGCTACTATTGACGAGTGGTGGCTGCCTTACCATAACATTCCCTTGTCAAGAGCGGACACTTTGGTCTCAAAGCCCACTTACTTTGCCTATTTCCTCGAAACGCCATGACTTTCGTCGTCCGCGGCTGGGCGGAGTAAGTTGCTGTCGAAAGTAAGCGGCACTTTTTGGGAACTACTGTTTTGAGTTGTCCACCACTGTTAGGGGTGCCAATCGGTCAAATTTCCTACAGGAATTTTGTTCAAAAAGTGACCTGGATCTTCCAGATGGAAAATCGCTCGAGCCAATCAAATCACATAGAACGCTCCTGAGCAATGCTGCACCCAGCGGCGCTCGCCGCCTCGCGCTGTCTACTTTCGATCAACTCCTGCTCCTTTTCTACCAGCGCTTTCTGCGCGACGGCAACACCGCCCCTTTCGACCGCGCGCTGTGTGTGCGCTGCTCCGGCCGCGTCGGCAAAGGTCCGCCCCTCCCGCTCTATGTATTTGCGTTCGTTTTTCTTGAGGTTGCGACGAAATCGATTTTTTCCTCCCGCGCCGAAGGCCGAGCGTTTGCCTTTTTGGGGGACCTCGACCGCGGTGCTTGGCGTGCTTGACTGGCCATTTTCAGATATGCGGTTCTCGCTGGTAGTTTGTGCGATTCTAGTTTGGTTTCTTGCGTTGTGTCGCTGAAAACCCGAGGCTGTGCGCTGCGGATCCGCTGTTCTACGATCACCAAACGCGGCCACGAGCGTGAGCCTTTAAACCGAATTTCATAGGGTTTTCTGTGTTGTTCGCCCGCCCTTTGAACGTCAGTAGAAAACGAACCCGCAGTCACGTGTAGATGACCTGTCTCCAGATGTGTGTTAAGTATGAAGAGCCACATCGCCGCCTGGACGCAGGGACTCTTGAACAATCATACGGAGGATAAAGTATGCTTTGATCGGTATGATTTCAAGAGCTGAGGTGAGAACCAACAATCCGCGTGCCCCCCCTTTTTCCCCAAAATCCTCGAATAGACCGGTCACTTTTTTGCCGCCAAAATCGGCCCGATTGGCACCCCTAACTGTATTGTGCGTCCGGGCTCTATGTACTACGTAGGTGGAGTCGCTCTGCCAGAAGAGAGCACTGGAGGCCTTCGACCTCGACCCAGAGCTGTGGGGCGTCAACGTGCAGACGCTGTCTGGAAGCCCAGCGAACTTCCAGGTACAGTGCTGCTGTACATCAATCTCTTTTTCTTCATCTGGTATCTACTGGCATTTTTTGTTTCCGCTTGGTTGCTCTCCCAGTGTTTTTGTTGACTGCTTGCGACACGAAACGTTTTAAACTTATGTTCCTCCGGCTTGGGTCGTGTGTCTCTGGTGTTTCTCTGCTGCGTTGTCTGTCGACGTTCTCTGCCGACAGCCAAAATACCGTGTCTGATCTGCCTGCCGACACGTGCGTGCTGTCTGTTTCGTGATACAGGCGTACACGGCCGTGCTGCAGCCGCACGACCGCATCATGTCCCTCGACCTCCCCCACGGGGGTCACCTGTCTCACGGCTACCAGACTGACACCAAGAAGATCTCGATGGTGAGAAGGAGAAGAAACAATCGGATAAACCGATCGCCGCTTGGCATGCACGCTAAGCACTCGTTAACGAACACTTTGGTTTGCTCGTGACTGCGAACAAGTTTGCTATCTTGTTATCTCTGTTGGACCATGTTCGTGTGTTTTTCTCGTGGTGGTTGTTTCAGCCTCGCTAGCGTAATTCTTGTTTTTTGCTTGGTACGTCCTACATATGATGACCCACTCCCCGGTATCCGCTACAGTCTGTCTCCCGTCAGCCTCGAAGCCGAAAGCAAGGGATGCGAGTGCTAACAGAAAGGGGGGGGGCGGGGGGTATCTCAAAGTCGTGCATGCCGTTAGACCATTGACCTCGCATGCTAGTGCGTACAGAAAGAGGAGGTGGCGTAAGTAGTAAGTAATTGTTGCTTCAAATAGTCCGCAAGGTTTACATCCGGGATGTTGCCCCGCACGTGCACCCATACTAGCTCTCCAAGAACTCGGCTGAGTTTGACCAAGGGTTCCAGCCGTCGGGTCACTCCCGCGTGTGAGCGTGGAAGTGTTGGATGAAAACGGAATTGTACATTCACGGCAAGTTTTGTGGTTATGATGAGACCCTGTTTCACAACGTGCTCTGACATTGTTTATTTTTTCCCGTCGCATCTCTACAGACTGACACGAGCATTTTTTTTTAACAAGTTACGTTGAACGCGTTTGTGGAGATGACCGCGGCGTGAGCACTCACGGAATCGATGTGTTTGTATCTATTCCTCCTACAACGACTTTTTTTCTTTGTTGCTCCTTCTCTGTTGCTACCCCGGTGGTATTCTAGGTGAGCTCTTTCTTCGAGACGTTCCCGTACCGCCTGGACGAGAGCACGGGCCAGATCGACTACGACACCATGGCGGCCAACGCCAAGCTTTTCCGCCCCAAGGTGTGTTTAACGAGAGACGGTCAAGAGAGACAGAGACAGAGACAGAGAGACGGTCAAAGTCTATGTGCGGTGATTGCGCCAGCCCAGCTGAGCTGAAATTTTCTTCGGGTCTTGGCAGGACATGGTATTTCTTATTTCAATCGATAAGTATGGATTTCACTGACCGACCCACCACCGAAGAGCCGATGATCTCAGCGGGGAAATGTCCAACAATCAGACACTACGTCGATTAGTATCGTGTGTTGTGTATTCCCCTGGCTGAGTGCATTGGAAAATTTGGTTCCTCGTTCATGTACAGCATGATCGATTCGTGGTCCGGCTGGCGACGCTTTGCAGTGGACCAGATCGTTTATCTGCAGCGATTTGTTTGCTTCGTACATGGCATGCAGTGGAGACGATGATATGCCCGGTGTGCAGGCATTACCCTCGTGAACCCCCCCGTACCCTCACCACCTTCACCTTTCCTAGCTGTTTTGCCCCGTCTTCACATGCAACACGCCATTGACTACACCCGCCCACCTACTCACATGCGGCCATGGCGTTGTATGAAAATTGATGGCAATTATTACGTCGACCTACTTGTACCTAGCACATCTGCAACCTAGATTACCAAGCTTCCCCCGAAACCCCGGTCGGCTCTCCCCTCTGATATCTGTTCGTTTTGTGTTGTACACTCCCTTGTGTTTGTTGACTTCCCTAACGCCGGCAAAAGCTTATCGTAGCTGGAGCTAGCGCGTACTCGCGCAACATCGACTATGCCCGCATGAAGGAGGTCGCGGACGCCTCAGGGGCGTGGCTGCTGTCGGACATGGCGCACATCAGCGGCCTGGTCTCGGCCGGCGTGGTACCGTCCCCTTTCCCCTACTCGGACATCGTTACCACAACCACCCACAAGAGCCTGCGAGGCCCGCGCGGGGCCATGATCTTCTACCGAAAGGTGTGTGCGTGTTTCTGCGAGAGATAGGAGGGGTTTTGTAACGAGTTGTGTGGCCTTGGCTAGGTTTTGCTAGAAAGTGTCGAGTAGTGTTCGCCTCCTCCAGGAACGTGTGTGTCCGAGTCATCCTCCGCCACTGCTCCCCTATTCTTGGGGGAGCGCTCTACGCTGAGTAGCAATGTTTTTATTCTTGTCGACCTACAATGTAGAAACTTGGAGGTCTTTGACTTTGGCGGCTGGTGACAAACCGGACGTGACGTCACCAAGTACGGGCAAGACAATGTTGAACTTACGCCCGCACGCACACACACATGCATCGGTGCGGCCTGCGTGGTCCATTTCCGAGTTCGTCTTCCCCCCAGTCTTAACCCGGAGGCAAGCCAAGCCTGTATGTGTGCTCTGCGTTGGTACGTCTGCCTCAACCGGGATCTACGCTTACAAGGACTACTCGTACAGCGATAACTCCCTCCTGGCCAGTTGCTACTTCCCGATCTCTCTTTCCTTGCCCCCCCCCCGCCCTAGCTCTCACTGTCAAGCGAAAAATTCAAGTCCATCGTTTGTTTTTCCGTCGCTGCTGCTGCTGCTGCTGCTGCTGCTTGTGTATCCCCACCCAAAACGGCTTGGTTCCTAATGTGCAGGGTCAGCGCGGCACAACAAAGAAAGGGGAGCCGATCATGTACGACATCGAGAGCAAGATCAACTTCGCCGTATTCCCCGGTAAGACTTGTTGACAACCACAAAGACCGCACTTTGTAGCGTTAGGATAAATGCAAGCTGTAATATTTTGCGGTCGCACGCCAAGGGTAGTTGCACACGAGATCGAGGAGGACCATGTTTTGATGAATGTGCTTGACACAGACAAGCATCTTGATTTTTTACGCGGGACTCACTTTTGGTGTCCTGTCCATCGACGCCCCGCAGAAACCCACAGCAAGCAAGCAGGCAGGCAGGCAGGCACCATATTTTTTACATTTGTCCCCAAATACTTGCCGGTGCCTGCATCGTGTTTGCCCCCGCGCGTGCGAGGCGTTTGGCTGCTGTGTAGTTATCACGTGTGAGTCAAATCAACATGAATGAGTCAAGAGCACTGGTATTGGTGGTTGGTTGGTTTTGGCCTTCGTTGGCATGTAAGAAGTTTAGACTGTGGCCTCGAAGTTCGCCCGAAAATTCTCGCGGTGACGACTTAGACTTGGTGTGACGCGCAGGCGTTACTGGGGGGGGCGGTGCGTGGGGGTTTAAAAGAGCACATCACACAAGATAACACCACCTTAGCTCTTCCGAGTGCTTGAAACACGACAATTTCCGACTCCGAGGTTCTTTTTTTCCCGCACACGTACGTTGCTGAATTGTTTTTTTCATCTCGTCCCCTTTTCCCTCACGGCATCATCCTTGTTGGTACCCTCAGGGCTGCAGGGTGGGCCACACAACCACACCATCGCCGCGCTCGCAACGGCGTTGAAGCAGGCCAAGGCACCGGAGTATGTGGCCTACCAAAAGCAGGTGACGGCGGCGACGACGATATGTTCGCCGAAATACACCTCCCCAAAGGGACGACCTGAGTGTACGTATGTTTGCACCGCTCGAGCCGGCCCTAATTTCCCTGCGATATCTTTTTTTTTTGTTTGTTTTTCTCCCATCATTGGACTCTGTCGTCTGCCCCTCTGGCCCCTATCCTCCACTTCTACTAGCTAGACGACCCAACCGGGGTCACATAGGAGGGGGGGGTTGGACCCCCTCCTGCGGTTCATGCCTGAGGTATTTTTATCGCGAGAAGGGTACAGCAATCCCTTCCCTCGCGACTTACGAAGTCGATTATGGTTTACTAACAAACGAGCTTTGCAGCGCGTCGCTTTCATCCTAGACCAGGATTTATTTAGTGAGAAAAAAACTCTCTCTGCCGGGACTCGAACCCATGACCTGGCCCTTAGCAGGCTGCGAGGCTACCCACTAGACCACCGGGGCGACCGGGTTGCGATATCTGTACTTGATTGGATGTGCGTTGTGCGTAGGCCTGTCGCTGTGATGGAACACGCACGAGTCTTGGTTCCTCTTGATGGGTGTGGCATCCGTAGGATATGCTGTTTTTCGTAGTCCTTGTAGGCTATATGCTTGCGCTGTTATTTTTTTTTTATTCCCTGGCCCGTGTAAAGCGCGGCCGATTGCCACGAGCCAGGCGCAACTACAATTTAGCGTATCTGAACGGAACGGAAAGGTGCAGGAGGCATCAGCAAGTGTGATACGAAGCATGCGACAACCAGAACACTTGGATAATAAACACCGAGATGGCACATATCCCGTCGAGTCAAAGCGACGTATCTCTTGGTTGCGCAAACGCATGCTCTCGAATTACAAAGGATGATCATTATGGCCACCCTCATCCGCTGTGCTACTGCGGATGATTGAGTTGGGATAGAATCCCTTCTTCATTTCCCGGTGTCTCGGGCTCGGGCTCTCTCTTTTGTTTTGCTCGACTTGGTGCTCCCGCCCCCTGTTTTTCTTTTTCCATCGTTTTGTTTGTCGTTTGTCGTTCGTCGTTCGTCGTTGGCGTGGCGTCATCGTGCCAGGCATTCCCTCTGCCGATTCTCTTGCAAAAATGTTGTTTCCTGAAATTGAAGTGTCCGGAGAACGCCCAAGAGGCTGGCCATCATTTTCTACACGTTCTTGTCAACTTGCCTTCATCTGTTGGGATTTTTGTTCCGTCTCCCGCCCCCCTCCAACGTTTTGTGGACACGAACATTCATTTGTTGCCGTGTAGGTGGTCAAGAACTCGGCGGCGATGGCGAAGAAGCTTGTCGCCGACGGCTACCAGCTGGTCAGCGGTGGCACGGACAACCACCTCGTGCTCGTTGACCTCAAGAAGTCGGCGGTGAGTGGGGGTTGTTGTCATAAGCGAGTAGTATATTTTCTCGCATTCGTTCCCCTAGTCGTCACGATGTAGTGCAAACCTCTTTCTGTCGCACCTCTTCGGCGTGGCGCTACAGTAGCGTGTGTACCACTCCGCGCTGGCCATGACGCGAATGTATGCAAGACGGCGCACACCACGGGATACAAGGAGGTACTTGTACGTGAGCAAGTGCTGTTGCTGCTGCTGCTGCTGCTGCTGCTGCTCTACGCACGTCGCTTCGGTGGAATCAACGAAAAAAAGCTTTGGCTCATTCGTCCCACCTCACCACGTACTTACAAGTATGATTTGTCCTTGGCTCTGTAGCCATCTCCTGGTCCTAGGTTGACGAAGAATAATACCGAGTTACGCGAAAAGGTGTATCGGTGACGGAAGTTGCAACAGGAAAAGCACCACATCCTTCGCATCCACGCATCCTTCCGATTGCGAACAGCAAGCATCGAGCCCACTCCACACTAGAGCCATGCGTGAATGTGATCTAGAGTTGTGATTACATTTCATTACGCCAGGCTTCCAGTTTCATTTGCCTGCACTGGTGCTGTATGTCTGCATGCATAGCGTGCTAATGGTGAGTTGCTTCCGTTTTGATGCGGATTCAAAAAGTCACTTCAATCGGTTCCTGTCCTTGTCGTATCGAAACCTGCAGAATATCGACGGCGCGCGCGTGGAGCTCATGCTCGAAATCGTCAACATGGCCACCAACAAGAACACCGTGCCCGGGGACAAGAGCGCGCTGACCCCTGGAGGCATCCGCATGGGCGCGCCAGCTCTCACCTCGCGTGGGTTCACGGGTACGTTGGGGCGTTCGTCGTAGTGCGTGCGGTAGACCTGTTGGAGGATTTTTTGGTATTGGGTGCCATTTTTTTTCGTCGCTTGGCAGATGTGAGGTGTGTCTGTTTTAGACCGTTGAGGTTGGTGTTGGCGTTGCCTCGTACGTGGGTTTGTGGATTCGCTTGTGCTTGAGTCACCTTTCGGAACACCTCGGTCAAAATGGATGGTACGTATGATGGTGTTTCTCCCCTGGTTGTTTTTTCCTCTACCCCCGGGCCCCCTCCTCTCCATCTGTGTACTGTATACCCCCCCCCTCGTGTGTGGGTTTGGCACTCTCTGAGGCGTCATCAATTAGACTTGTCTCCATCCCACTCCTCCGTGATTTCCATCTCACTGCTCTTGTATTTCCCCCCGCCCCCCCCCCCGCCGATTTTGTGCGTTTGCAGAGGAGGACTTCGAGCAGGTGGCGGCGTTCTTCCACAGGGGGGTGACCCTCGCCAAGAAGGTGGCCGCCGACACGGGCAAGATCAAGGCCTACCGCGAGGCGCTCGCGGACGGGGGGAGCAAGTACCCCGAGATCAAGCAGCTCAGGGACGACATCAACAACTTCGCCCGCACTTTCCCGGTCATCGGGTTCGACCAGGAGACCATGCGTTACCCGGCGCCCTGAGCACAGCTCGCCCGCCGGTTTGGTTTTGTTTTTCCCGCTACGTAGATATCCAATGAATGCTGCAGTAGGCTAGCTAGAATAGCGTCCGTGGTTCGTCCGGCGGCGCGTTTTAACATCCCGCTGCCATTGTCTGAAACGGGCTTCGATCAGGAGGGAAAGGCTGATAGGTTTTGGCTTCACCGCGGGCCGGCCTGTGTCCTGCCCTTTCGTTCGTCCTTGTCCCTTCGGCAGCCTTTTCGTTCGCCCACCTCCTCTGTAGTTGAGTTTGTTTACCAATGCGGCTTCGTTGTAACCGAAAGAGGAAGAAAAGAGTCCAACTGGGTTGCAGAAGACGTTTTTTGACCGAAAGAGACAGAACGGCGTCGAATTGGATTTCGAAAACAGTTTTTTTTTTTTGAGATAGACTGCTGTGGTTGGGCTGTTTTTGTGTTGCCTTTTCCTCCAACGCGTTCGACACACGACCCCACGCGGTCTCGCAACCAAAAGGCGCGACGAGAGGGGGAAAGGGAGGCGAGGGGAATTGAAATCAATCATGGAGAGGGTGCGAACGTGACTCAAAAGATCGGCGCCGTTGCGTTGCTGTGTATACAATACAAAATTGCAGACTGGCGGAATTGACGTATCTTGGTATCTCCCGCTCCACTCTCGCATGTAGAGGGAGAAAGAGAAATAACGAGAATTAGAGAGAGAGAGAGAACGACCTAGTGATGCAAAGCACACGTTCTTGGTCGTTACTCGCATGGCTCAGCTTTTCATTCGTTGTACGGGAAACCGGGGGAGGAGTGTGCGTGCCGTGGGCCCCCACGCTGCCAACAAGATTAGCTAGAAGGCAACCTACCGGAAATATCTTCGAACATGTTGTGATGGCCGTGTCTCGGGACACCGAACGAGATACCACATTGGTCTTAATAACGTATCCTGTGTTTGTTATGAGCCTAGGGCAGAGGTTTGTTTATCCTTGGCGCATGTTTGTGGGTCGGTTGGGGTGCAGGGTGGGGGGCGGGTCGTTCATGTCTGTTTTATCCGGCCAATTCGTCCCGTGCGGGCCTCTACAGGTTAGTCACGCATCGTTTTTCGGATTTGTGCACGGTTTACTGTTGTCAGCGAGAGCAAAAAAAACAACGAACACACCATGGTGTTTGGCACGCCAGCATTTAGTGTTGAGGTACAAGTATGCATAGTCGGAGGGGAGGGGTGATGCTGCACTGGACCAACCGCTGTGTTAGGGGATGAGCTACCCTGGTGGTCTTTCATACTTGTAAAGTACCGCGTTACTGTCGGTACTTGCGTTCTGACATGACCATCCTGTGTCGAGACATGAACCGTTATCTAGATTTATTGGACTCGTTTGTTCGTGCTGGTGCTGGTGCCGTGCACGGAGATGTGAACAAGGTCCTCACCGCGATGGATGCGCTCATGCTTCAACACAAGTCGTGAGGTGCACCATGAACGACACACAATACATCGACGAGTGGAGGACCACCGCACTACAATCAAGGAACGTTTATTGACGTCATCTAACCTACACGGCACACGCGTACAAGACGAATCACTGCTGTTGCTTTTCGCCCCACACCGGCGGAAAAACAAAGTCCTGAATTCATTCGATCTCGGACCTTTCACACCATGAAAATCGAAGAAAGCGTCACTTCCATGATCATCGCGTCGTTTTGGTCAGGTTCTGGATGGCAGCGACACTTGCGCTTGCTGCGCGCGTGTTACGGTACCGCCGCCACCATCCGCCTTCTTCTCCTGATCCTCCTGTGTCTCGTGGCGCAGGATCGCCTCTTGGAGGGCCCTCTGCTCGTTCGCGCCGGCTCTGAGGCTAGCCACGTTCGCCGCTTTCCAACGAAGGTTGCCGTGAGTCGCCTTCAACCTCGAGGCCTCGGCTGGGGTCACGTCCTGGTGATTGTTTTTTTTTGTATTGAACGACTGCAGTTATTGCGGTTGGATGAAGAAAGAAGACTCGACGGACGGCGGATAGCTACTTGGCAGTGGTCAATGTCGTGCAAAGAAGGGACACGAGACTGAGAACATGCTGTGCGAGAATAACGATCAAGAGCAACGAACAGAGAAAGAAGCCATCATGATGAGCAGGGGGGAATTACAGAACGAAGAGGGAGGATGAAAGGAAGGGTGCTTCTCTCTCTGTCTGCCTGCCTGTCTTTCTCTCCCACCCTCCTCTCGTAAGCGCTTGTGTGTATGCTTCAGCGCAATGCTGAGTCCCATCGAACATTCTACGTGATCATGACCGCTATACACAGATACAACACGTCGCAACGGCGCGCTATACCCGTGATCGTGAAAAGTGCCGTGGCAAGAAGTGCTCGTGGCATCCATGTACCCCCGCGAGTGGTGGCATGACTACCTCCCGCACCCTCACTCTCACCTCTTGCATCCGCTGAAGGTAAGCCTTGACTTGCTCCTCCGTCTTGTTCTCCAGCTGCAGGAGCAAGTCTGCCGCTGGCGCCGGTTCAAGCAAGTTGTCCTGTAGTAGGTTGTTGCAATGCGTGGGGGGGCGCGGAAGTTGGGGTTGGGGGCGTAGATGGGGGTCTACGACTCGCAGCAGCGTAATGTCATGTTGCGTTATTTTGCGTCCCCCCCACCTCCCCGCCCCCCCCGGTGTTTGCCATCGGGGTTGGGTTTTCGTCGCTTGGCAACGACGTTGTAAAACAAGCCCCACCGGGGGGGACATGACGAGAATAGAGTTCAAGAACTGTTGTGACAGGGAGGGACTGCACTGCCTAGCACGGGGACAAGTAGGCAGAGAACATGAACACTTCCGGGTGAAATTGACCAAGGGAGACAGCCAAGAGTGCTTGGGGGTTGATATCGAGAAGCTGTCGAACTACGTAAGGAAGTTTGGATGGAGGGTTTGCATCGCGAACATGATAGAAACAGAGAAGGTAAGGAGACAAGAGGCGAGGGCG